AAACTCAATAGGAGTAAATAATTGGACAAATAGCATATTTCAAAATGTCTTTACTAAGATATTACTCACAGTGATTCGTTGGATGGTTTGCCCTTGTTCTTGACCCTACATATTTCATAAACATAATGGGTCACAAGCAATTCAATCCATTCTTAATTCATATATTCTTCTTAGGCCTCTTTCATATCTTCTTAATCCATTCACAATGCTTAATGCATGCCTAAGAGTGCTTAGAAATGAAAGAGAATGGAAAATGAAACACAGAACATCTTTTCAAAATTTCTAAAATAGGGCTCCCCGCTCGAGCGTGGTTTCCGCCGCTCGAGCAGACCCTTTTGGTCTGCAAAAGTACTGGTTGCCTCTTTTTTACGCTCGAGCGTGACTTTAGACGCTCGAGCTGAAAAGTCAAAACATGCGTTTGGATGCTCGAGCGTAACTCTTCCCGCTTGAGCGGTGATCAATGTCTGCAAAAGTTCTGGAAGCTAACATTTCACGCTCGAGCGGCGATTGCCCCGCTCGAGCGGAAATGCCGAATTTTGGAATTTCCAGAATTGTCTTTGAAGTTCAAACTCAATGTCCAAGGGTTCAAAACTCAAGTTTTGGACACAAAAACATAGAAACACATTACATATTATGAGAACATAACCAATATGAAGCTAATTGTTCAAAATCATGATCTAATTCTCAAATTAATCAACATTTCTATTGTATGATCAAACCCATGCATTCAAACCTCATACAAGCTTCATATCTCCATGAATCAAGCATGCATGTTAATTTTTTACTCCAATTCCATTTCAAATGGAACTAGTGATGTTTATACACATGAAGCTCAACAAAACCATGCTTGCATGTATGATCCAACACTCAATTTTTCATAATTAACATGCTACATGTTAGATTATACAAATTCATGGTAATTCTATGCATGCATGTTCATTCTAACTTCATATTCAACTCAATTCACACTTTTGATTACAATCTAACATCAAATTCTCAAAATTACAACCTCAACTAATGAATCAATGCTAAAATACTCACCTTGGAGTTCCAAGCTCCCAATTTCTAGCTAGTTCTTGGAGTTAAGCTTCCAAATTCACAAACTTTGAGCCAAAATGCATAATTCTTCCTATTCCTCTCTCTAGAATCGGCCCTCTCTCTCTAGAGTGTGATTTTTAGATTTTTGAGCTCATAAGTAATGAGCTTGAGTGCAATTAAGCTCTTATATACACACCCTTAATCTAGTTTCATTAACACTAGTTAATTGAGCACCATTAAATCAATTTAATCTAATTAATCTGATCCGAATCAATTTTCAATTAAATTCACCGTAGGCTCTAAAAATTATGCCAATCACAATGGTGTAGTCAATTTCGGTTTCTGTGGCCGATAAGGCCTTCGATTTAAATTCTAAACAGAAAATCAAACAGATTTTCCTACGGTGAACAGATAGAAATTCAAAACCACATATATTCATATAAATGGCACTCAAAATCATATTAAATACATAATCACAATCATAATTAAGATCAATTAGCATAATACAAAACAAATTAATTGAATTAATTGAATAACAAGAAAATTAAAATAACCAGAAAATTAATTTTATTGAATTAAATTAATTGAATTGAAATAAACAAATTAATTGAATTAAACAAATTAATTGAATTAATTGAATAACAAGAAAATTAAAATAACCAGAAAATTAATTTTATTGAATTAAATTAATTGAATTGAAATAAACAAATTAATTGAATTAAACAAATTAATTGAATTAATTGAATAACAAGAAAATTAAAATAACCAGAAAATTAATTTTATTGAATTAAATTAATTGAATTGAAATAAACAAATTAATTGAATTAAACAAATTAATTGAATTAATTGAATAACAAGAAAATTAAAATAACCAGAAAATTAATTTTATTGAATTAAATTAATTGAATTGAAATAAACAAATTAATTGAATTAAACAAATTAATTGAATTAATTGAATAACAAGAAAATTAAAATAACCAGAAAATTAATTTTATTGAATTAAATTAATTGAATTGAAATAAACAAATTAATTGAATTAAACAAATTAATTGAATTAATTGAATAACAAGAAAATTAAAATAACCAGAAAATTAATTTTATTGAATTAAATTAATTGAATTGAAATAAACAAATTAATTGAATTAAACAAATTAATTGAATTAATTGAATAACAAGAAAATTAAAATAACCAGAAAATTAATTTTATTGAATTAAATTAATTGAATTGAAATAAACAAATTAATTGAATTAAACAAATTAATTGAATTAATTGAATAACAAGAAAATTAAAATAACCAGAAAATTAATTTTATTGAATTAAATTAATTGAATTGAAATAAACAAATTAATTGAATTAAACAAATTAATTGAATTAATTGAATAACAAGAAAATTAAAATAACCAGAAAATTAATTTTATTGAATTAAATTAATTGAATTGAAATAAACAAATTAATTGAATTAAACAAATTAATTGAATTAATTGAATAACAAGAAAATTAAAATAACCAGAAAATTAATTTTATTGAATTAAATTAATTGAATTGAAATAAACAAATTAATTGAATTAAACAAATTAATTGAATTAATTGAATAACAAGAAAATTAAAATAACCAGAAAATTAATTTTATTGAATTAAATTAATTGAATTGAAATAAACAAATTAATTGAATTAAACAAATTAATTGAATTAATTGAATAACAAGAAAATTAAAATAACCAGAAAATTAATTTTATTGAATTAAAATAAACAAATTAATTGAATTAAACAAATTAATTGAATTAATTGAATAACAAGAAAATTAAAATAACCAGAAAATTAATTTTATTGAATTAAAATAAACAAATTAATTGAATTAAAATAAGTAATTGAATAATCAGGAAATTAATTGAATTAATTAAAATTTTAACACAGAACAAAAAAAAATAATTGAATTAATTGAAAAAAAATTAATTTTAAAATAATTAAATTAATTTTAAAAATTAATTTTTACGAATTAATTTTTGCGGATTAAAAATTAATTTTAAAAATTAATTGAATTAATTTCAACAGGTTCGACAGTGTTCAAAGAAGAACACTGTGAAGTCGAAGGGAAGAACAGGTGAAGTCGAAGGGAAGAACAGGTGAAGTCGAAGGGAAGAACAGGTGAAGTCGAAGGGAAGAACAGGTGAAGTCGAAGGGAAGAACAGGTGAAGTCGAAGGGAAGAACAGGTGAAGTCGAAGGGAAGAACAGGTGAAGTCGAAGGGAAGAACAGGTGAAGTCGAAGGGAAGAACAGGTGAAGTCGAAGGGAAGAACAGGTGAAGTCGACAGTGAACAAGGAGAAAGGAAGAAGTAGGAACTCACCTCGGAATGACGTCTGAAGAAGGAACAAAGTCGACGAACGAAGACCCAGATGCATCGACTTCGGAAGAAGAAGACCCAGAAGACCCATACGTCGACGAACGAAGTCGATTTAGGGTTTGGATTTCTTATTTAGTAATTAACTTTGTTGATGAAGGGCCCAGATGATTCGAACTTAAATCAGGCCAAAATCTGATGAAGCGTCGCTTCTCTTCGCCTCGCGCTTCATCGCCTAAGCCTCGCTTCAGGCACTTCTCCATTACCTTGACATTTCGCCTCGCCTCAGGGTGCGTGAAGCGCTGAAGCCTCGCCTCGCCACGCCTCGCTTAGCGCTTAGGTGAGCGCTTAGGCTCACCTCTGATAACACTGCCTATACGTGACCTCCGGAGAGGTGTCTGTGCTTCACAGCCCGTGTTTGTGCTACTTAGCCTTTTGGACATTTTCATGCCTTCCAAATCACTATTGACTACTCCAAGAGTATCCCTCGGGGAAGTGGGTTGACCACCTGTCAACACACTTGAGGATCATAGAAATGATCTGGCCCCTTGATTTTATAGGGAGAAATGGGCCAAAAAGGGCCTATGCTGGGCCAAACTGGATTAGGCATTGCTCGATTAATCTTGTTGATCCATCTGGACCAAGCCATAAAAGGTCTTGGGCGTTGTTCCTATTGGTGATTTTGATAGTTCTTAACCTTGTTGTCTGAGCAGTTTTCAAAGGGACTTAGAGCTCCTATTCTTGCTCCTATTGCTTGGTATAGTGGTTAAAAGTTGGGTTGTTGAGTGTAAGAACGACGGTCCTATTTGAGCGCAACCACCTTGTACAAATACTACCGGTGGTAGGTATTAGCATGTCTTGTGTCTAATCCCCAACACCCTACTGGCTAATGGCTTTACTTCTGCTCATAACTTCTAGTCCATGTCACGATCTTTTATCCCCTGCTTATGATAAACCCATGTTACTTGGAACATGGATCGTTCCGGCAAATGGAACCGAAACAGGAATGTAGTACCCTACATACACCAAAATCTGGTCTAATAGGGGTAGACTTCTGTCAGTTACATTATTGGAATTTAAGGTATTTCCAGACTAATTTTTTAAACAATTAGACATTTAATAAAATATAATCTATTTTATTTCTACTAATCATGCAAAAGCACATTTCTAAGAGCATTATGGCGCACTTTTTACATTTTACCCTTCCAAAACTCTACTTTCTCTATATTTTAGTTTATTTTATTATATTTGATTTTTTTTTTTTTTCTTCTAAGGAAACCATTTTGGGGGAAAAAAAGGAGGAAAATTTGGGAATCATTTTGGATCGCTAAATTCATTGTTTTGGAACGTGTCTACCATATTTTGGAACATGCATATTAATACGTAAATCGCAAGGTTATTAATGTTTTCTAGTAACATTGTGATAAATCCTCGAGTTAATACAGTTGATCCTTTTTCAATAAATTGTAGCCGTTATATATTCCTGTAGTTTTTACTAATGAGTTTTGATTGTTTTTTTTCTTTTTCATTTGGATATGTATGTCCTTTCAAAGTCCTTTTTGTGAATCTTATGGACCATGGCTACTAGTTTGTGTACCAGATTGACGCTGTCCTTTTTGCAGGCAATGTATCAGAGAGCCACCTTACATGAGACAGTTAGAGACTATGAACAAGCAACTAGTGACCTGAAGAGATTCTTATCCATTCTTGAAGAGCAATTACAAGAAAAGGTTCAAGTGTCGGGCACACCAGATGGACCAACTGGCAGCAATGTGGATGAAAGGGCCAGACAGTCTGGCACACCCGATGGAATAACTGGCAGCAAAATGGCAGCATTAAGAAGAGCTAGCAGGCACCTCACATTAGTGGAAGAAAAGGCTGAACAAGAAACCTTCTTGGATCTTTACCTCATTCTGTAAGTTTTCCGCATATCACCTAGTTCTGTTTGATGTCCATTTGGTATTGAATAAACTTAATTTCTAATTTAAATACTAATTTTATCATGACATTATCTTATCCTTTTATTCTCTCTCTTTGTTTCTACAAATTGTGTATATTTGTAGTTGATTTTCATGGATGTTTAGTAAATTTTAGCATCTTGGAAATCAAGCATGTGAAAGTCCTCATTCTGCCACATTCTACTAGATTTTCTTTCCAATGTGTTATGAAATGAATACAACTATTATATTGTGATGTATGATTTTGTATGATTGATATCAATAGTGTTAAATAATTACTAATAAATTTGTGAATGTTGATTATGTCTTGTATTTTGCACTCAACAGTAATGGCCTGATGAATGAAGAGTGTGCATAAACACTCTCCAACAAGCACTGCTAACGATGGTAGGCGGCTCTTGTTGTACAAAGTATGTAACTCCTAGAAAATTCATCTAGATGATTAAAAGGATGTACAATAGAGAAGTTTCTGCCTTGGGAGCAATTCATTTTGGGATGATTTTGTCGGAATATTGATTATTAAACTCTCATTTTTGGACTGCAATTGTATCCCTTTCCCATGTGTTATTATTACGTTTTGATGTGTGTTAATTGCAAATGCTGTTTGGTGTTTGATGTAAAAAAATTGCAAACAAAATATGAAGTTCAGTTTTGTGTCGCATATTAACCACTTTTCTTTGCAATACTTTTAAGATGGGGAAATCATGAACTAATCTAACTAGATACTTCTTTCTAGAGTTAGGTTTCCAAATTATTTCATGTGATTCCAATTATTCCAATTGTTTGTTAGGTTTCTAAAGACCTCAATTATTTCAAAATTCCAATTGCAGGGGAATCAAGGCATCTGATACGGCATCAGAAATCAAACAGGCATACCGGGAAGCAGCACTTAAACATCATCCAGACAAGGTTTTTAGTTTTAATATATGCTGTCTAGATATTTATTATTAAATATATATATGTATATTTTTGGTCATCTTTATAATAAAGTGTATGTTGACATAGGTAGCTACTAAGTTCCTGGCAGAGACTGGAGGAAATAGGCAACTCTGGGATGAAATTGCTGATGAAATCTTCAAGAATGCTGACAGACTTTATAGGATGATTGCAGAGGCATTTGGCGTACTTTCAGAGCGCACCAAGGTCTGTTAACTGCATGGTCATTGCAACTTCTTGTGGTCTTTGTGAGCATCACATTTGTTTAACATTTATGTTCTTACTTTATCTTCTTACTTTATCCTTTCAACATCATCTATGACATTGCTAGTCTTTACATTACATGTTTTAGGCTTTATCAATCTTAATTTTTTCAAGTTGCATTAAGACTAAAAGTTCACTAGATAGTTAAACCTTGATTGGGTGGGTTTGGAATTTTCTTTTTTATTAGTAGCTTTTTTGCTTTTGTAGAATCTAAAAAAGCTGGTGTGTTTGGTAATTGCTAAAAAATTGCTTTATTCCTTTGTGGAAAAGTTCACTGTTTTGGCTTTGTTAGCTCTTCTCTATTCTTGTGTCCTTCCAATCTCATGGATCTCTTAAATGGGAGATACTGAGCTATAAGCCTATAAACTTAGATCCAATCTCTCAAACCTTTGTTATCACCTACTTTTTTATACATGTATATAAGAGAGTCCTGGGTCAGCGTCCCGGGTCAGAAATATCAAAGAATTCTTCAAAACAGAAGGATCAAATACAAGACATCATGTTTGACAACTTATTATTTCGTATGTGAGCCCTGACTTGTGGTGGCTATTGCCCTCAATAGAAGGCCTGTGCAGGTCTCTGGAATTGATTAGTTGAAAGCCCCAAAATATTTCTATTAGGCCTAAATATGTGTTTTTTTAAACCTGGTTAATAACCCAGGATCAAGTTTGAGTCTCATCTGAACGACTATTGTGGAATTTTCTTCTTGATTTATTTTTGTTCTGTGTGAATTACTAATGAGTTATATTAATATAATTTTTTTTGGTTTGCAGCGTGAGGCGTATGATCTCAAGGAGGAACGGAGGAATGCCCAGGAGAACAGCAATGGAGGCAGAGCTTCAGTTTGATTATTAGTATATATATATATATATTTTTTTTTTTTCTAGTACTGGAACTGAAGTCCAAGTTTTTGAAGCTCTCAATTCCTAGATTTTCGTTTCAAAGTGAAAAAGATTAAAATACAAAGAAAAAGGAAAAATTTCGAAAATTAAGAAAAGATTGGTACTTAACAAGAAAAAGTTTCATACGATTCTACAATTTCTCTGCCAATCCCCATAGGAAAGAAAAAAAGCAAAAAAATGTGCATTTGTAAATATGGATGGTAAAGGAAAGTTTTGTCTATATGAAATTGTAATACGATACTTGTGAATGCTACAAATTAGTTATCTAGGGTTGAATTATTATTCAAACATTACTATATACTTAGAGGTACAAACTATAATCTCTCGTTCTCTTTGATTATGACTCGTTGATTATGACTCGTTGTGATATTAGTTATAATTTGATTATATTGATTATGATTTAGTTATAACTTATTTTGATTGTTATTTTGATTGTGATCAAAGAGGTTTTTAGTTCCATCAAGTGGTGTTTGGTATTTCCTTTGTGATTCTTTAATTATAACTGAAAAAGATTTGATTAGGACACAGAATGATATCAATAACATAACATATCAGTTAGTATATCATTTTTTGAAAATGTGTATTATAAAAAGACACATACCTAAATTGTCCATTTATTTTATGTTTTGTAGGGTATCTTGAAATAGAACTTTTATTTTTATTTATTTATTTATTTATTGTTATGTAGGGTATCTTGCTTTTATTTTATTTATTTATTTTTTGTTATGTAGAGTATCTTGGGTCAGCTTACGCGCATCAGATTAAGTCCTTACCGCCCGAACAATCCTTCCGAAACAAGACTTTTATATTATTTATTTGTTTTTTTATTTTTGTTATGTAGGATATCTTGGGCTAGTCTACACACATCAGACTAAATCCCTACAGCTCGAACAAGCCTTCCGAAACAGGACTTATGCCTTGTGGTTCGTGGCCCCAAGGTATGCATTTGCTAGTTAGGGGATTCAAACTTGAGACCTGAGAAGGAGCAAACCTTTAGGCCCCAGTCTTCACCCACTAAGCCAACCATCCTGTGGTTAATTGTCCATTTGAATACTTAGCAAAACTTAGCAAATAAAATAAATAAGGGACAATTAAAATATATATAAAAAAAAACCTCTAAGATTTGAGCCTTATAAAAAAGTAAATTATGAGTTTTTAATTTTATTAATTTAAATATTAATTTTTTTTGTTTGATTTCAATTTAAACTATATGTTCATTTTTGTTAATAAAAAAGGGACATATTTTAAAAAAAAAAAAATCCTCTGATTTGAGCTTTATAACAAAGTAAATTATGAGTTTTTAATTTTATTAATTTAAATCTTAATTTTTTGGGTTTGATTTCAATTTAAACTATTTGTTTATTTTTGTTAATAAGTAAGGGATAATTAAAAAAAAAAAAAAACCCTCTAAGACTTGACCCTAAAGGGAAATTTATCAAACAGTCCTATATGGTTAAATTGTGTTCCCTTTGGTCCCATTGAGTTTTTGTTTGATTGACAAGTTCATGTGAGGTGGAATTGCTTACTGATAAGTCCTTTTTTGAATGTAGATGGTTCTGTGCTGGACGAATATGCCCTTACATAATTTATGGAGATGTTCTACTTTATTTTTGGATATGTGTAATCCCACGTTTTGTGGGGTGGGAGTGGTGAAAATTCGTTTATAAAGTTTTCCAAGTAGGGATTTCATTTTGAGACCATTTTTTTGTGTAGCAGTCCAACAATACTGCAGTTAACGTGAACATTACAATATTCGAGTGAACATTACAATATTCGAATAAAAACACTACGTGAACCAACAGTCTAACAATGATTCAGTCCATTGTAACATGAACATTACAATATTTGAATGAAAGCATAACGTGAACCCAACAATGAACAACTTACGTTCCCAGACATTGATTAAGACTTTGTCGCCAACGACAATGCACCTAGAATCTGATCGGCGGGGTTCATAGAGCAAAATCCAACTTTCCAGAACTTTGCCGCCAACGACAATGCACCTCGAATATGATCGGCGGGGTTCATAGAGCAAAATCCACCGTTCCAGAAAGCTATTATGGTTCTTCATGACCACAAACTCAACGAAATGAAATGACACAGAGAGTTTGATCCACACAAACACTGTGTGAAATATTCCCTTAATCTATAATGTGAGTTTTGGAATCAAGAATATTTGAAATTCAAAATAGAAAAAAGGATAATCGTAACAAAAGGTAGGGTTCGCGTCGCCCTTCACCACTGATTCATCTTTCCAAATTGGGGATGATTGCCAATTTGTAAATATGAATGCAAAAAGCAAGTTGGATTTCTGGGTTGGTGGGTTGAGTCACGTGACAACACCTCTCCCCCAACATGACACAATCCCACTCACTCCATCTATTTCACGTCCCACATCACGCACCCATAACCCACACCATCCAAAAAGAATACTATTACCTTTTTTTGGGGACGTGAATCACACACACACCCCTTTCCATAAATATAGTTGCGCCTACAAACTCAAATTAACACCTCAATGGCAAAATAGTAAACAAACAATCCTAAGGACTAAACGGATTAAAAGAAAACAATTAAGACCACATGATCTACAAGATGACAAAATGGGATTTACTAGTCAATTCCCCCTTATGACAAAGTAAATTATGAGTTTCTAATTTTATTAATTTAAATCTCATTTTTTTTTGTTTGATTTCAATTTAAACTATTTGTTTATTTTTGTTAAATAAAACCGACGGGAAACAAATATTTTAATCATTAAACTCAATATAGGTATATATAAAATGTCTAAAATATAATTTTCACTGCGTTTAATGATTAATATATTTATTATTTCATCATTTTACTTAATGAAAATAGGAAAATGGTTTAGATTGAAAACAAATTAAAAGTTTAGCATATAAATTGACAAAATTAAAAATTCAGAATTTATTTTGTTATAAGGGTCAAACTCTAAGTTTCTTTTTTTCTTTTTCAATATTTTTTTAATTGTCCCAATAAATAAACACATGTTTTCTTTTATTTATTATTTATCCAAATAAGATGATGAGAAATTACAATAATTTCTTTCCTCATTTAGGTGAGAAGCTACACGAGTCTTCCATTTTTTTTAGGATAAATTACACTAACACCCCCTGAGGTTTTTATTTAATACAAATCTCCCTATCACATTTAAAAAATTACACTTAACCCCTTGTTTGAATAAAATAACATATTTGTCCCTTAGTCTTTATACATATCAAATAATAAAATAATACAAATATTTTGTTCATGTCATTTCAAGAGAAATAACAATCATATTCTTTGATTTAACTCACACAAAAAATTTAGTTTTTTATTTTTTGTTTTTTTTTTATTTTTACTAAATTTTTTTAATATTTTAAGTAATTTTTTTATTTTTTAGATACACCTAATCTAGATATACTTAAGAAGTATAATATTTTGGAATTTTTTTTATATTCACCAAATACAAAAAAATATAAAAATATAAAAATTCAGTACATTATCTTATTTTATTATATTGAATGGATTTTTTTAAAAGTTTTTTTGTACAAATTTTATATAGTTTTTAATATATCTAGATTAAATTGATCTAAAAAGTAAAAACAAATTGATTAAAATATTTTAAAAATTATTAAAAATATAAAAATATAAATTAAAAATTTAGAAAATTATTTGTAAAAACTCCAAGAGGGTGTGGAATATATGTGTTTGATTTTATTTTTTTTATAAACGTATATATATGCATTGTATTTTTGTGCTTCTAAATTTGATTGGGTGGTTGGCTAACTTTTACATGAATGACGGTGTTTGGTAATACTATAATAAATGTGAGTGAATAGACGAGAAATTAAAATGATGGTGGAAATAAAAATAACAAATTATATTCATATTTAAAAATTTATACAAAAAATATCATAAAAATGTTGTGATAGTAATATTGTTGAAAATATAAATCATGTTTATGAGTGTTTTGTTTTAAAGTGAAAGGTCATCATTAAACTATATCATTGTGTTTGAAATATCTATATAAAATTTACAAAAATGCTAGAGATCTCAAAAACTCTACTGAAATTTCTATCAAATGTCTCACATGGATGTAAGACCTACATGAGACCTACATGATATGGGTCCCACACTCATGTGAGACATTTAGTAGAACTTTTGAGGTTTCTGGCATTATTTTAAAATTTATGTTTGTATATCATCACTTAATAAAAATATGTACATATAGAATTTGATGATGGAAAGTTGTAAAATATAATTATGATGATAGGAAGAACAAATGGTAGGAAAAAGGGTAAAATGATCATTTAAAATTTTTTAAAGCATGACATCATCAATCCAGAAGGCAATTTATAATGAGATTATAAACCTCAAGAAATAAAATATAATTTTTTAAATATGAAGGTGCATTTATATTAAACAGAAATCTCAAGAGATGTCAGTGTAATTTTTTTTTTTTTTTAATACACAGCTAAGTCCTACTTTTTTTATTTTGTGATCCACCGGATCCCGTTTAATTAGCGTAAATTGGATTTAGTGACATTTTTATACGGACCGAGATTTGCTGTTGTATCTTTGTAAGAGTATTTCACGAATTTATTTTGATAATCCGAACCGTCATATTGTAAGGTTTGTCGAGTATATCATCTATATAAAAAATCAAATTAATTAAATATCAATAATCTCATGGTCAAAAACTAATTCTTTTTAAAAAATTATTAAAATCATGTTAACCGTTTATTTTTTTAAAAACAAATGTGCTACTATTGTAGGGTTATAGATGTCCAATTTACTTGATTTTTTATAGGATGATCTACTCGATAAACTTTACAATCTATACTATATATTAACCAAAAGGGGGGTTTTTAACCCCAAGGCCTGTGGGAGTTTCAATATCTCAATCTGAATTTTCTAAATTTTTTATTTTTTATTTAAAAAAAAAACTCAACATTTATTGATTTGGTCAAAATCCTCTGATCAGTATTTATTAAATTTTTTCAATCCACATGTCTTTTCACATGACTGCATTTATTGATTTGGCCAAAATTCCCTAACCAGCATTTAAAATCCCCTCATACAAATAATTGTAGATACGATCTGTGTATAGTTACTGCAGTATCTTTTTCAACTTCTCTCATACACTATGGTTAGTGATAAGATTGTTAAATTATTTTTATAAAAAATCTTAAAAAACATAATTTATATATTAAAAAAATCTAAAACAAATATAAATATCTATAATTATTCCGTGTATAGTACAGGTGATAAGCTAATATAAATTATTCAAATCATTAAAAGAAACTCAAGACACGCCTTTAATAGACTTCATAATAA